GCCGCCCTCTCTTCGAAAAGCGACAGGAACCTGTCGCACGACCATCGCACTGTGCCAACGCTCTCGTTCTATTCGCGTTGCAAAGGCGCGGATTCCGTCGCGGCTTCACAAATAGGAATTTCGCGCAATACTCCGCCCGACCAGTGTTCGGAGACTCCGCGTCGCCAACTTCTACGTTGCTCTGGTCGCCACCGCACCGAGACGGCCCATTATCCGTTTATGTAAGAGCATATGTTCCCACGTTTCTCATACCCGCTGCGCAATCCTCACAACAGCTGGTCTCTTTTCCTCTGGTGCTCGTACTTGATGAACGTGTCTGCAAGAAGTTTCCACTGGCACTGCTCGCACTGGTCTCGCTGCATTAGTTCCGCCCCCGACCTTTCCCAATCCACGCCTTCGCCCCGCAACACCTGCAACAACTTCTTCGCGCCGGCCACCTCGCCTTCGTTGTGCGGCTTCCCACGACAAGAGAAAATGATGCAGACTTCTCGTCTTCGCACACGCGCGATGGCAACACGGTTCGACATCCAACTCACACCGCGCCTTCTCCTAAGGTCTACTATGACTGCTCCCAATGCTCGTCCTTGCGCGGCGCGCGCGATTACTGCAAACGACGGTGTAATCGGGAACTGTGTGCATTTGACAGTCAACACCGGAGGCTTCCGAGACCCATCCAGAAACCACCGATGGCCCCGAAGGCCACAGTGCAGATGTATGGGGCCGGCGGATGTGGCGAAACCTATAGAATCAATCCCTGGAGCTCTGCTGAAATCCGTTCTGACAAGAAGTGCGATGCATTCCAAGCCGCGGCGACGAGAGGGCCCTTCAGAGCCCCCCCGAAATGCGACAACATGAGCTTCCATCCTCCTCCTCCTCCTCCTCCTCCTCCTCCTCTTCCTCGTTCCTCCCTTTCTCTCTTCTCTCCGCCCTACCCCTCTTTGAGCGGGCGGAAGACAGGGATGCCATAAAGGGGGTCTTTGCTCCTTCTGGCGCCAGGGGTGGCCAATGCATCAAAGAAAATGGCCCGCTGCGAAGACTAAACCAGCTGCATACGGAATACTTCGCACGTGCCCACTCACATTGGCCCTCCCTCCCTCCCACCCACTGACGGCAGGCACACAGGGGCGGTGCGAGAGGGTGGGCGCCCTCCGAGGAGGCAAGGGCCTTCTCTGACCTCCTGCCTTCCAGGGAGGCTTTTCAGAAATCTCCTGGCCCCTTCTGAGAATCGGGCGCACGCCAACGTGGATGAAGGATCCGTGGATCCGGCGTCCCTCCTCCCCTCCCCCCTTCTCCCTCCTCTCTGCTTTATACTTCACAGTCGAGCCCCTGTGCGCTCACAGTCGCTCCGCCTCTGCTGGTTTTCACGCAGAGCTGCCAAGCGTGCGTTCTTCTGCCCACGCGCCCCTCTAGACGCTCGGCTCCGTGGCGGTGGCGGATCTGGCACGTGGGCGCCAGATCCTGGGTTGGGGACGGCACCCCCAACACACAATAGGGCCAGCGCCGCCTCCTTTGGCGACGGCGCGCGCCGATGTCGCACGATAATAGAAGGGAACTGCCGCTAGTCCACGCACCTTGTTCCATGGCTGTTCACCCCCATCGATGCCGAGGAGGCTTGTCAGAAGCCCCCCGCCCCCTCTGAGAAGGCCCCTGCTCTTTCTATAGCATGGGGGAGCCAGGTCCCGAGGGAAACGGGTCCTGCACCCTGGCGTTAGGTCGGGCAGGTCCCCCTAGAAGGGACAGGCCCGACTCCACGACAACCCGAGGACGGCGAAAAACCGCATTATCCGTTTCCCTCGCCCCCTGGCGACTCTTGCACGGCCGCACCACATCGCCCGAACCCCCCCGCCCCCCAGTCTGGTCGCTGTTGATTTCCCCGGGGGTCCTCCAGCTCCTCCTGCCTCTCCACCTCCCTCCACCGCCTCCTCCTCCTCCTCCTCCTCCTCCTCCTCCTCCTCCTCCTCCTCCTCCTCCCCCCGCCCCTGATCCCCGTGCTTCCCCTGCTCCCCCCCCTCCCACTGCCCCTATTCCCGCTCCTCCCCCTCCTGCTCCCCTCGCTCGCCCCCTCTCCCTTCCCCCCTCCTTCCGAGATCCGACGCTGCGAACAAGTGCAACCGCGCGGCAAGTCACGACCAGAGCCCTAGACTTCTCTGTGGCATCTTTCGGTGCGAGGCGGGTACATATATATATATATATATATATACACATCTCCACCGCCTGTGTAACCGACGTCCTTGGGTGTCTGGATATGGACATGCGTTGCCTCCCCAAGACCCCGATATATGTCCATATCCACCCCAGCCGCCCTCCCCGAAGGTCGACCCCCCAGGCGGCGCTCATGGGTAAAGCGCCGCTTCGGACTTCGAGGCGGATCCATCTGTGGCGGGCCCCCGGGCCCGACGGCGGGCGACGGCGCGCCGTGGTAACGCCCATCGCAAGACGCCCGCGCCGCGGGGCCTCCCGCTGCTGCCCGCCCTCCCCGGCGCACCCTCCCCTAGGGGGCCCTCGTGGTCGAAGGAGCTGGCAGCGCCGTGCTGGCCGGACTCCTCGCCGCGCGAGGGGCTGGGGGGAAGTGGGAAGGGGCGGGCCTTCTCAGAAGGCTGTCGGGCTCTCGTCCCGGAAGACACAGGAAACTGTTCAGAAGGCCGCAAGAGGGCATTTGAAAAGCCCTGCCGTCTTCTGAGAAGGCCTTCCCTTTCTCACTTCCCCCCCTCTCTCGCCGCCGAGGGAGAGGAAGAGAGAGAGAGAGAAAGAGAGAGAAAGAGAGAGAGAGAGAGAAAGAAAGAGAGAGAGGAAAAAAAAACCTGGAGAAGGCTAAGGACCCAACCATATGCAGTTGTGAGTTCCGTCGTTGTATGCACCGCATTCGGAGGAGCTCCCTCTCGGGCCACGAAACATGTAAGTGGTGTGCCAAAATTTGTCCGGCGGGTGCATGCGAAAGCAGCCACTGGGGCCGTCAGTTGAATTCCCTCTGGGGCCACGAAACGCGTGATGGGTGTGCCGAAATAGATGCGATTGACCCATCCGAGCGCAATCGCTGGGGCCGTCGGTGGAGCTCCCTATGGGGCCGCGAAACGTGTGATAGGTGTGCTGAAATGGGTGCGGTGGGCGCATGCGTACGCAACCACTGGGGCCTTCGGTGGAGCTCCCTATTGGACCACGCAACGCGTGAGGGGTGTGCCGGAATGTGCGTGGGTGACGCATGCGGGCGGTGGCACCAGAGCATTCGTTGGAGCTCCATATGGGGCCACGAACGTGTGAGGGGTGTGCCGAAACGGTTGTGGGTGACGCATGCGGGTGGTGGTACTGGCGCCTTCGGTGGAAACGTGTGAAAGGTGTGCCGGAATGGGCGTGGTTGACGCATGCGGGCAGTGGCACCGGGGCCTTCGTTGGAGCTTCCTACGTGGCCACAAAACGTGTGAGGGGTGTGACGACATGGGTGCGGGTGACGCATACGGGCGGTGGCGCTGGGGCCTTCGGTGGAGCTCCCTATGGGGCCACGAAACGTGCGAGGGGTGTCCCAAAACAAGTGTGAGTGACGCATGCGGGCGGTGGCACTGGGTTCTTCGGTGGAGCTCCCTATGGGGCCACGAAACGTGTGATGGGTGTGCCGAAATTGGTGTGGGTGACGCATTTGGGCGGTGGCACGGTGGCCTTCGGTGGAGCTCCTTATGGGGCCACGAAACGTCTGAGGGGTGTGCCGAAATGGGTGTGTGTGTGTGTTTGTGTGTGTGTGTGTGTGTGTGTGTGAGAGTGAGTGTGTGTGTGTGTGTGTGCGTGTGCGTGTGCGTGTGCGTGTGCGTGTGCGTGTGTGTGTGTGTGTGTGTGTGTGTGTGTGTGACGCGGTGGCGCAGGGAGGAATGAGGAGGAGGACTAGGGGGGGGAGGAGGGTAGGAGGCGGAGTGTGACGCGGGGCGCTGTCCCTTCAAAACGAGGACCCAACACCACAGGATGGTTTGGGGAAAAAAAGAGAGCGCGCCATGCACGTCAGAGGTGCGTCCGGCAGTCGTATACACACTGAGGTCATTACTGTAGCACCAAACAATTGCGGACAAGAGTGAGGAGGCGGGCGCGGGGTGGGTCGTGGGTGGGTCGCGGTCGGGTCGCGGACGGGTTGCGGGGTGGGTCGTTGGTGGGTCGCGGGCGGGTCGCGGGTGGGTCGCTGGTGGGTCGCGGATGGGTCGCGGGTGGGTCGCTGGTGGGTCGCGGATGGGTCGCGGGTGGGTCGCGGGTGGGACGCTGTTGGGTCGCGGATGGGTCGCGGGTGGGTGGGTTGCGGGTGGGTCGCAGGCGGGTCGCAGGTGGGTCGCTGGCCAGGTCGCTGGTAGGACGACGACGACGACGACGACGACGACGACGACGACAACAACAATGTAACAATAGGTCCCTGCGCTGCTCTTCCCAGGGGCGCACGCGATCGTTCTCTCTGATTCGCAGGAACGGGTCCTTAGGCCCTTGTCCATCCATGCCGCGGTGTATGTAGGGGGCAAAACCACAGCCACACCAACACTGGGAGCCATACTAACACAAACATCCCCACCCCCAATTGACATCCAGACGACCTTTCACGATTTGCTCCCTGCGGGAAACTAAGCGCGCCGGCGAGGCGACCGCCATGAACTCTTTCCCAAGGGCGCCCTATAAAGGATCCTCCGCAAGAAAGCCTCAGCGAGGAACTCCTAGTGAAGACCCCTTAGGGGGGAATCTTTTGGCAGGGACCCTTATTGGAGGAACCCTTAGTGAGGAAGACGTAGTAAAGAGTCCTAGCCAAGGGATCCAGACTAAGGAATCATTAGTGAGGAATCCATCGTAGGAGCCCTTCGTGAAGAATCCTTCGCGGGGAACCATCAGTGGAGAACCCTTGGCAAAAACAACCCATAGCGAAGAATCTTTGGTGAGGAACCTCTGATGAGGAATCCTTAGTAAGAATTGGTGGGACATCCTTGGTAAGAAACCCTTGGTGAGGAATCCGCAGCAAGGCATATATATATATATACATTCCGAAAACGCTGGTGCGCGGATTCCGCAAGAAAAAATCATTACAAAGGAATCCTCAAAACATTCGCACCGATCCTTTACGAGGAACCCATTGCAACAGATCCGTTGTAACGGTTCCAGAAAGAGAACCCTGAATGAGGGAGCCTTAGAGAAGGACGCATCAATGCGGAACTTTTCCTTGTTTTGTTGAAAAACGTGATACCTAACCATTAGTACGGACTCAATGAAGCCGTATTATCACTAGTCACGCTCTAGCATGGGACTCTCGAGCGTAATATGTTCGTAAGGAATCGGTGGTAAGGGCCCTTAGTGAGGGATCATTAATAAGGAACCCTCGGGGAGGATTCCTTCTCAATGATTCTCCCATGCGAAATTCTTTGAACATAACCATATGTTCCCGCAAAGAATCCTCAGTGAAACACCAGAAAGAGGGAATCCACAATGATGAATTTGTGCTCCAGATTCCCTGGTACGGAATTGCATGGTGGACCGCCCCATTATATGAATGAGTTCTCTGTAAGGAATGCGTAACCAAATCTTCCGAATGATGAACCATGCTTGACACATTTCAAACGATAATGCCTTGACCAGCAATCCTTCATACAAAAAAAAAAAAAACGTAGCCCTTAGTGGGGGCCCTACACGACACAATTCCTGCATCATATGCCCATTATGGGAGACCGAATGAAGAGTACTTACGAAAGAACCATTGCAAACGAAACTGTTCAAACAACATCCTCGCCAAAAAGCCCTAAAACAACAACGGTTCCCGCCTGATACATCCTCACAACGTATTGAAGTGTCGCGTTGTCATGCGGGAGGCTGTGCAATTTCATGATAGAACCGCGCTCTCGCGTGGGCCTTCCGCGCCATTTACTCAGACGCCGCGCCCTCAACATTCAGGACTGACGCGTTCGATGTGGATTTCCTCACGAGTGACTAGGTATTCGCGGTATCGCTAGGGACTCCCTCGCGATCCACGCAAGACGCACACTTCTGCAACCCACCTGCTCGACCTGGCCTGGGTCCTGGTCTACTTACCCGATCTCCCCGTCTGGTGATGCCACGTGTTTTCTGTTCCTTGCCCCCGTTTGCTACTCTCTCTCTCTCTCTCTCGTGCTCCATTCTCCTCCCTCCCCTCTGTCCTGTTTTTTCCATCCGTCCTCACTTCCCCCGCCTTAGGGACTGCATGATATACATTTTGCAGGTCGGACATAAATCCCCCTCTGGGGGTACGATCGAAGACGACGACGGCGGAGATCGAAGGTTTGGGATATAAGTTTTGATAGGCACGCGAGGAGATACGAGCGAGCAGTCTTCTAATGATTGGTGGTGTGGTTGCTGCTGCTACTGCTGGTGCTGATGTCGTTGTTGAGTGCTCTTTTCAACAGAACAGTTCTTGTTGGTCCACCATCTGGTAAGCATTGCACCTTCCACATAAAATGCCTCTTCGGAAGTTTTATTTTATTTAAGATTTTGAAATAAAAACGAAAAGGAAATATGGGGTCAACACACTGTGCTTCTGGCCCCCGGTCTGCAACAACAGCGGTTCCCGCCTGATACTTCCGCTCAGTAGATTCCCAAATCGCGCTCTCGCGAGGGACTGCCTCAGTGCCTTTGCAGAAATCGAGCTCTCGCGTGGGCTTCTTTACCCAATGTATTCAGACACCACGCCCTCGACTCTCAGGAACCAAGCTCTCGCGGCACGTGTCTGGTGATATCTCTTAGGCATCGCGCTGTCGCTTGAGATCTCCTCGCGATTCAGGAACCATTCTCGCTTCAGCAACACGCCTGCTCGACCTGGCCGCCCGGGCGCGCCGTCCCGACCCGCCCGCTGGGGTCTGCCCGTCCGATTCGCCCGTCTGGTTCTGCCGTGTGCTTTTTGTTCCTGCCCCCCCTCTTTTGGTTGATATCGTGTTCCATCCTTCCCCCTCCCCCTTTTATTAGCGGCGCGCAGAAGGGGGTGGAGGGAGGGAGGACGCCTTCTTAGAAGGAGGCTGCTCCTTAGAAGGCGCCGGCCCTACATTGTAGATAAGGCCCGCGCCTTCTAAGAAGCAGGGGTGCTTCTAAGAAGCCTTCCCCCCTCCACCCTACCCCCTTTACGCGTGGCTGACCCTTCCATCCGTCGTTTCCTCCCTTGCCTCCGGGGCTGCGCGAAATACACGCTGCAGGAAAAGATCGCGTTCTGGCGCGGGACTGCCTCACAATGTATGCAGACATCGCACTCTCGCGTGGGACTTCTTCGCAATGTATTCAGACGCCGCGCCCTCGATACTCCAGAATTCCGCTCTCGCCCTGGCCTGTCCCACGATGGTCTAAGGAACCGCGCGCTCGCTTCTTGAGACTTCTTCGCGGTTCATGCAGGATTCACGCTCGAGCAACCCGCCTGTTCGACCTGGTCGCCTGGGCGCGCCGTCCCGACCCGCCCGCTAAGGTCTGGTTATGTCACGTCTTTCCTGCTCCGCGCCCTCTCCTGCTAATGTGTCTCGTGTTCCATCCTTCTCCCTCCCCCTTCCATCCGTCCTCTCCTCCCTTGCCTTCGGGGTTGCGCGAAGTACACAAGTTGCAGGCAAGAAGCATATGCCCTCAAGGTGGTGCGATCGAAGACGACGAGGGCGGGTATCGAAGGTATGGGATATACGTGTTGGGTGGCACGCGAATAGAAAAGAGCGAACACTCTTAAATCCAAGGGAGCGCGAAAAAGGTAACCAAATTTCCCTGTCGGCCCCCGAACTATAACAACAACGGCTCCTGCCTGATACTGCCCCACAATGTCTTCCCAAATCGCGTTCTGGCGCGGAACTGCCTCAAAATGTATGCAGACATCGCGCTCTCCCGTGGGACTTCTTCACATCGCATTCAGACGCCGCGCCCTCGACACTCAAGAACCACGCTCTCGCTCTGGCCTGTCCCACGATGGTCTAAGGAATCACGCGATCGCTTGAGTCTTCTTCGTGGTTCAGGCAAGACTCACGCTTCAGCAACCCGCCTGCTCGACCTGGCCGCCTGGGCGCGCCTTCCCGGCCCACCCGCCGAGGTCTCCCCGCCCGAACTGCCCGTCTGGTTCTGCCAGGTGCTTCCTGTTCCTTGCTCCCCCTCCTGCTAATTTCTCTCGTGTTCCATCCTTCTCCCTCCTCCTTCCATCCGTCCTCTCTTCCCTTGTTCTAGGGGCTGCGCTACATGCGCGTTGCCGGTAAGGAAGCTATACCCCAGGGGGTACGATCGAATATGGAAAGTGCGGGTAACGAGGGTTTGGGATGTTGAATGGCACGCGAGCAGATATGAGCGAACAATATTAAACTCATTGTTGTTGTTGCTACTGCTGGTGTTGTCGTTGGCTTCCCAATTTGGAAACAAGTAGCGTTGATCCCCCTCTGCCCCGTGACGATTCTGTTTTTCAATGCAAGTGTTCCTTCGGGGCTTGCACCTGGTTCTGTACAACGGACAATGTGGGCTCACCAAAGAGGGCCCCTGCCCCCCGGGTTACAACAGCATCGGCTCCCACCGCATACTTTCTCACGATCTATACTTCCTCACGGTGTATTGAAAAATCGTGCCCTCGCGCGGGGATTCCTCAACATGTATGCAGGGTTCGCTGTCGCGTGGGACTTCCTCGCAGAATGTTCAAACGGCGTGCCCTCGACGCTAAGGAATCGCGCTCTCGCTCTGGTTTCTCTGACGAATCTCTCGGGAATCGCGCTTTCGCTTGAAACCTTCTCGCGATCCATGCGCTACTCACCTTTCAACATCCCGCCTGCCCGACCTGGCCGCCCGGCCCCCCTCTTGCCGACCCGCCCGTTTGGTTCTACCCGCCCGATCGGCCCGTCTGGTTCTGCCACGTGTTTTCTGCTACTGGCCCCCCCGTCCTGCTAATCCCGTGTTCCCTCCTTCTCCCTTGCCCTTCCGTCCATCCTCAATTCCCCTTTTTCAAGGCTGCGGGAATTACACGCGGCAAACGAGGAAGATACCCCCAAGGGGATGCGATCGAGTACGAAGTGGGCGGGTAAAGGTTTGGGATAGACGCGTTGAATGGCACGCGAGCAGGTGCGAGCGAACAGTCTTAAAATGATTAAAGTTGCTGCCCTCGTCGTTGTCGTTGTTGTTATTGCTATCGTTATGATTATTGTTGTTGCTGGTGTTGGTTGGTGTTCGACCATTCGCTTCAAACTCTGCCAAGCAATGACCCCACAGAATGGGCGTGAAACAAAAAGCACTCTGATATCAAACGACGCGTGAAAACGCAACGCGTCCGGGACGAATGCGGGCAGGATGGCCACGGGCCGGAAGACGCAAAGCAGAACATTGCGCCCCGAACATCCCAAAAAACCTTCGAATCTGATAACGGGACAAACACGGCGGTATTGACCCAAAAATAGAGGTCTCCTCGATGGGGTCAGAGTGAATAGGGTGGAAGGATCGCGCCGCATCGCCGAATCATCGCCGACGCATCGCCGACGCATCGGCACGCATCGGCGATGCATCGGGAACGTCAGCGATGCATCGGCGACGTCGGCGTGGACAAAATCGAACTCCGCATCGAGCCGAGTCGCCGATGCATCGGCGATGCGGCGCGATCCTCCGACCCCATCTTCTCGGACCCCATCTAGAAGGCCCTCGAAAGGGCCCCGAAGACGTCTCCTGGACTCCCAAGCGGCCGCCAAGACTCTCCCGAGGCCAGGAGCAAGAGGAGGAAGAGGAGGAGGAGGAGGAGGAGGAGGACGAGGAGGAGAAGAAGAAGGGGAGGAGGTGGAGGAGGAGGAGGAGGAGGAGGAGGAGGAGGAGGAGGAGGAGGAGGAGGGAGGAGGGGAGAGGAGGAGGAGGAGGGGAGGAGAGGGGGGGAGGGGGGGGGGGAGGGGGAGGGGGAAGAGGGGGAGAGGGGAGGGGGGGGGGGAGGGGGAGGGGGAGGAGGAGGAGGAGGAGGAGGAGGAGGAGGAGGAGGAGGGAGGAGGAGGAGGAGGAGGAGGAGGAGGAGGTGGAGGAGGAGGAGGAGGAGGAGGAGGAGGAGGAGGAGGAGGAGGAGGAGGAGGAGGAGGAGGAGGAGGAGGAGGAGGAGGGGGAGGGGGAGGAGGAGGAGAGGAGGAGGAGGAGGAGGAGGAGGAGGAGGAGGAGGAGGAGGAAGAGGAGGAGGAGGCCCAGACAAGAGCACCGGAAGCCGCCGCCCCTCCGCGGAGGCCCATGGCCGCCCTGCTCTCTCTCTCGCCGGCCCCGCCCCGCCTCCAGCCCCTGCAGGAGCTCGTGGAGGAACCCCCGCATGAAGCGCTCGTCCTGCCCCCGCCCCGCGCGGGGGCGGGGGAGGCTGGGGGGACGAGCGGCGGCAGCAGCTGACTGCCTACCAGACCACCCCAACCCAACCCGAAGACCCGAATTTGACCCGAATTTCGGGTTGGGGGGGGGTACGGGTTCCATGTGTTTTTTCAGTGTTCCCCGACCCCCCCACACTGGAAATGGAGGGCAAATTGAAGCCTTCGGGTTGGGTTGGGGAGGTTTGGTGAGTGGTGAGCAGCAGCAGCACGACGAGGGGCACAGCTCGGGGATTGACAGAAGCCCCTTTAGCAGAGCGTGGTCCAATGAGAACGGCCTCGGGCCCAACCCTGGCGGGCGAAGGCCTGGAAAAGGACGGCCGCGGCGCCCTCTCGAGAACCGAAAACGGACAATTCGTGAATCGACGTGTCAGGGTGGGGGTTCTGTACACCCCCGAGACAAGGGGCCTAGCATTGTGTTGCTCCCATCGTACTTCAGGGCCACACCCCAGACAAAATTTCGAGCACCCAGAAAAGGTATCGAAGCAGTGTCGAACGAGTATCGCCTCCCAGGGCCCGACACGTGAAATGCCTCCAGCTTGGATACTTTCTTTGTGCCCGAAGGTCTTTCTGATGATCAAGGCTAAAAATAGGTTGGAACACCCTAAGCCTAGCAGTGACGACGGAGACCCTGAGACCCGGGCGTTGCACGTACTTCTCGCCAACCGTTTTCGCCCAGCGCCGGCCCGGCGCCGGGCACCGGGGCCATCGCAGGTCGAGCCGGCTCGAGAGACAAGACACTGGTGCGGCTTCGGGCTCCGGAAGCGGTCCTTCGGGATGTTGCACACTTGTGTCTTGCATCCTCGGATCTCGGGGGGGGGGGAAAGCGGAAACACGACCACGGGCATTGCAAGGACGGGGCGGGTGAGGAGGGCAGAATACGAGCAATGAACAGGACCCAAGGGGGGGAAGGAGTGAGAGGGAGGATGTGGAAGAGGAGGAGGCGGATGAGGAGGAAGGGAGCGGAACAGGAATAGGGGGTCTGGGGACGAGAGGAAACTGGGGGCATGGGGACGGGGGCGTGGGAGGTGGGGCGGAGGAATAGGGAAATCGAATAAGAACAAAAAAATGCAAGGACGGAAAGACGGAAAGGTCGGAAGAGACGGAAGGGAAGAGGAGGGGGAGGAGGGGGAGGAGGAGGAGGAGGGGGAGGAGGAGGAGGAGGAGGAGGGGAGAGGAGGAGGAGGAGGAGGAGGAGGAGGAGGAGGAGGAGACTCGCCACGGCCATCTGGAAGGGTGCAATGTCAGCTTCTGGTGAACAAAATCAAGCCAGGCGCGTGATTAAAGCAAATGGTCCCCTGCTCAAGCGAATCTCGGGACGCGAGCGGCGCCGCTTCACCAAGGGGGGGACAATGCCTCTGCTACAGCGGGGCATTTTGACCAAAACGGCTACAGACAGGAGAGACGGAGGAGGCGGGAGGAAGAGGCGCCTCACAAATTGCGGGCGTTGCTGACATGGCTACAAGTGGGCAAGGGAAGAGGGGGAGGAGGGGCAGAGGCAGAAGGCAACGGCTTTTCTTCTATACCACCCCATCCCCATCCCAACCCTCCAATACAATATGCCCTACGGGGGGCATGCTGAGTGGACCCGCTGCACTCAATCACGACGATCGTGGCGGCTGAGCCGACAACGGGACGACCGACAACGTGCGCGCGCGCGCGCTGCGGATGCCCGATGGGGTGGGGGGGGCGAGGGGTGCTGCGCCAGGCTGCCGTGGACGACGACGACGAAGGCGACGACGACGAAGACGACGACGACGAAGACGCACTGCGGATGCCCCATGTGGGGGACAAGCGAGGTGCGTAGCTCCGATGTAGTCGACGATGACAGCGACGACGACGGACGAAGGCGCGCTGGGGATGGAGGGTGGGTGGGTGGGTGGGCGGGTGGGTGGCCAGTGATGCGATAGAAAACGGCAGTGGCAATGACAACGACGACGACGAGGACTGTGGCACGTCAGTAATCAGCCTGAAAAGGGGATACACTTCGCCTCGGATGTATGCGTTTCATACTTCAACTTCAACTTCTACACTTCCCCCTCGGCAGCGCCAGCGACGATCCCCCCGCGCGCATGATGTTTTAACTTTTGTTTAAAATCGCGGCCCGCGGGGTCTAGTCACCAGCCTTGGGGGAATCGTAATTATGAGCCACAAGCTGACACACACGAACTTCGACTCACCCGTGAAATAAGACGGTTCCCAGATTCGAAGCTCCGGGGAGGAGGATCTGGGGCCAAGTGCGGTAGCGGCCAAAGGGGGCTCCAAAGGACTCCACCGAGAACGATTTCACACGTTCGCGCACCAGGGCCGTCATCCGAGAGTCTTCGTCTCTCGGGGAAAGGGACCTCCCAGCTCCTTCAGTTCCTCCTCCACCTCTGGTTTGGGGTACGACGGCTTCCAAGCCACTATTCCACCGCATGCTCCTGCAGATGTCTGGTCATGGCAACTCGCCTGGGCATAGTTTCTGGATGGGCTGGTGGGGTCACGCGGAGATTTGTCTTAACAATTCCTAGCAAACGCGAGTCATCAGCTCGTGGAGACTACGTCCCTGCCCGATGTACCCACACACCCCGCCCGCCGTCCGCCCCCCTCTCCCCTCCGACTCCCTTTGCTCCAGTAGGGGATCGACTGCAGAATTGATTTGCCCCAGAACTGCTTGTTCATCGAATCTACGAACAATGCGTAGAATGTGCACCCATTAAGCACAACATACTGTCTGCAGATTCGACGGAACAAAAGCAATTATGGGGCAAAAGAATTATGCGATCGATCCTCTACTCGATGTGTGTTCCCCCTTCCTGTCCTCTGCTGGACTCATTGAAGGCCTCCTGGCGGCGCAGAAGAGAACCAGACCGTCAAACTACGCTACACAAGCGCAAAAGAAAGTTCAGAGGACGATGAGGGGCAAGGATGAGCAGCAATAAGGGGGAGGATGGACACATCCCGTTTGACCTCCTGATTTTTGTGCTCTCATCGGTCGGGCTTCCAACTGGGCACTCGACGGTTGAGGGTCCCCCCCCTGCTGCGGAGGGGCGAGGACTAGGGCGATGCCTCCCTCCCACCCCCCTCCATCTCTCCCGCGCCTTCCTCTCTTCCACGATCTGCCCTCAATCGAGTGACAAGTATTCATGTGATCAAGTGTTGGTTGTAATGTTGATGCGTGCGATTATGTGTGCAAGTAATGCCATGATTTGCACGCAGTTCCACCCCCCCCTCCACACACACACACACCCCACACACACACACACACACACACACACACACACACACACACACACACACACACACACACACACACACACACACACACACACACACACACGCGATCGCGCACGCGCGCACGCACGCACGCATGCACGCAGACACACGTGAGACCTGGTACCAAATACCCGATCCTTCGGAAAATGCACAGCACAAACATAAACGTTCGGAAGTCCGCGCGGATTCTTGGATCGGCGCTGCCCCCCACCCCACCCCACCCTGGCGCGCGGAGCGCGCCAGGGGGCGGCGCTGGATCGACTCCCTCCCGTCCTCTCTTCGCCCTCCTCGGCTCGGCCGTCCCCTCTTCTGGTCTCCTTGTCTGGTCTACTCGTGCGCACCCGACTGGGCCGCGCTGTGCCGACGCCCTGGGCCCAGGGCAGTCATGGCGCCATCCCCAAAGGCAGGGCTCCGGCAGCGGGGCAGGTGCCCCGCGTGCGTGCCCGCACTGCGGGGGCCGGGCTCTCCCCTGGAGAAAGCAAAAGGCACCGCGGATACCGCTACTCCCCGGACCTCCCCCGTGGTGCGTTCTGACCAGAATTTCGGGGCGAATCCAGCGGTGACGACGAGAGCCTCCCAGGCGGCCAGGGTAGAGGTATGGGTACCTTTTCCTCCTCTGATCCCCTCCCCCCTCCTCCTGTCCGCCGCCGCCAAGGCCTATGCCCTAGACCTGCAGGCACGACGACCTGTGCTCCAGCCCGTCCCGTCCATGAGGATCGCCATCTCGGCGTCGCCCAGGGGAGCGTGGCGCCGCTCCTGCGCGACTGGCGCTTGGGCGAGGAGGAGGAGGAGGAGGACGAGGAGGAGGAGGAGGAGGAGGAGGAGGAGGAGGGGGATGGAGGAGGAGGGGGAGGGGGAAGGAGAAACTCACAACAAATCGAATTCCAATGTCGATGATGCTACGCGAGCCCGGCAATCTGTTCGGGGGGACGGGGCAGATCCTCGCAATCGCCACAAGACCATACCAACTCCTCACAGAAACATCCACTCACCAATCATGTGCTCCCTGTCCAGCGACACGCTCGATTACTTCTTGGCAACAGAATTTATCGCAATCGTGACTTAAATGTACCCTTGCTCCTGGGGGGAGCAAACTGAACAAAGGCACCGCCAGTGGTTGGCTTTTGTCAACTCGGTTTCGCACGTTCAACACAGCAGAACAACCTTTCATTCTCACTCCTCACGTTTCAGCAAGTTGAAGGGTAGACTCGCTCACGGGCCCTGGTAGTTGTGAGCTTACTGGCAACGTCGGGGGCTGGAAAAGCTGTCGGAGCGGGAAAGCATCTGAGGCAGTTCATGAAGCAGCCGCCACGAGCCAGGGACCAACACACCAACAGGAAGACTTCTCATCCTCTTCCTCCAGAAACCAAGGACCCTGGAACACCAGAAAAGCTGGCGGCAGACATCTGAAAAACGAAAGGAAGTTGTCCACAGCAAGGGAGCTTGTAAAAGCCACCTGCCCTACCCCCTCTCCCACATCGCAAACTCAATATACATCGAATCGGGAAATCGCATCGAAGCGGAATGCGAATCGAACCGGGCTGCATTCGCATGGGACCGGACTCGGGTCGGATCGGCAGCGCCAAGATGAAAGCAACTGCATGAGAGCATCGGGCCGCATCGGATCGTCGGAACATTGAGATCGAATCGGGGCGGGCCGGCCAAACTCGATATCAAATCGGATCGGCATGGGGCCTTCATCGTGACCTTTCTCACGGGGTGACGGTGACGGCGACGGTGCCCGCAACTGTGTCCGCGCGAGGGAACTAAGCGGGGCGGGGCCGGAAATAATCAGGAGCGGCAGACAAGGGTATCGCAACTAACAGGGTCAGTCAAGACGTTCAAGACTATGCTCCAGCTTATTCAACGTTGCTCTTTTCCACGGGGTGAACCCCGTGGAATTCTCGAACCACTGCCCAGCACCAGTCCTTCACCGACGTCTGTTGTCCGTGCGGGCTGCTCCGGGGGGGGACACCGCGGAATAACGAAAAAAGCAGGCACCAAGGCTGGGAACAGAAAAGCGCCCGACGCCGCGACGCTCGGACGTTCCAGGTCCTGTGCCCTCCTCTCTTCTGACTGCCTACCAGACCAACCCAAACCAACCAGAAGACCCGAATTTCAAGTTGGGGAGGTATGGGCTCCATATGTGTCTTTCCTATGTTCCCCGACCCCCCCCCCCACTGGAAATGGAAGGCAAATTGAGGCCTTCGGGTTGGGTTGGGGTGGTTTGGTGGATGGTGATCTTCTCCCCCCTTCCTCCCCTGTGATGGCTGGCCGTTCTCTGTCACCCCCCCCCCGGGCACGGTCACCCGCACCGCAATCTTGACAAAAAACGATGCGGTTTCTTGTCCGTGGCCGTCTCACATCCGTGTCTGAAGCCGTCTGGGCGTCGAACGACGCAGCAATTCCCGATGTCCGACGTCGTGAGAAGGGCGCATTCAACATCACCCCCAAAGTTTTCGACACAGTCCTGCAGCGAGGCGGGGCTTCATGCATGCCCACCGCCTGGGGGTCGGTATCCTTGGACACCAATGTGCGGCGCCTGTGGATAAACGTTGAAACCACGGGTCAGTAATATGTCCGCATCCGCCGCCTGTTGAGGTCCAGATAGATCGGTGTCTCCGGCGGTGGATGTGGAAAATTCCAGCCCTGGAAAACTACTGGGGACACCAAAAGATAACGATACCGCTGCTCTTCGCACCTCTCCCGGGATGCACGCTGACCAGAAATTTCGAGGCGGACCCAGCCGTGATCACGAGGGCTTCCCACTCACTCAATCAAATCATGCGTCCTGCAGGGTGCGCCGGCCATCGGAAGTGGAACAAAATTTGGGAGCATGCGACGCAACGCAAAGGGGAGGGGCGCGAGGGGGAAGGAAGGAGGGAGGCGAGGACGAGGAAGTGGACAAAACAGGGAAATGCACAATCACTATGCCGGACATGAAACGCCAAACGCGCTGTTCGAAAAAATAAGATGATGGGTTGGTGGAAAATGAATATCAACCTGTGAAAAGGGCACGAGACTGTCACGACACCTCTCTTGCGAATTGCGCTTCTAAGCATCGGTGGCCTGACCCATTACACCATGTCAAAGAATAAAGAATTGACGGTTTTGCTTGCCAGCTCGACAAGTTAGACGAGTGCCACGACAACGGCAAGAATATTATGAATCCTCCTGCTCGTTGTATTCAATTTGTAACCACGGTTGTCTAGGTATGCCTTCCCTTGCGTGCTCGGCCCAATGTTTGGGAAGGCTGTCTTCGTCGCGCACGAAGTTGTCATCCAACGATTTTTTGACCTGGGATGCAATGTTCTGGAAAAGCTGCGCCTGGCGGTGACGCAACATGTCAGAAGAGGGGCTTCGTACCAGAGAAGAGCAACGTTCGACACGCTCAAATGATGAGAATGCGGGCTGCCCAATATTTTGCGCAAGTGCTTGCAATGGAAAGCGCCCAGCCGCTGTCTGTCTTCCTTGAGCAACCATGAGGAATCCAACGAGTATGACACTTTGTCAATAACGCAGCTTATGTACATTTGTTGTTTTATCTTTGCTGCCCATTGAGGAATGGTTCAAAACTTTACACAACTCTCGAAACACAGCGTTGCCTTCACCCAGTCGGCGAGCAAACTCATGCCCAACGCGGCCATCGTTTGTAATCAAACCTCCAAGGTGGATACCTTGACTGACGATTCGATGGGTTCCCTGGTTGGTCGCGCTACGGAGACGCATGCCAATCGTTGTATGTGCACTGTTTCGTCTCAGTTCAACTCCATGCCGCATTTATGCGGCCTTTCCATAACTATCGCGTTGAAAAGCGCTGGACAGCAATGTCTTTTGGACACAAAACTGTGTCATCTGCGTGCACTCACTAGGTCTCGCGTTGCCCCATATGTAGGCTCGCGTTGTAGGTGTAGCTCACGAAACACATCGTGCAACCTGACATACTGAACTGCACTGGAGAAATATGGGGATGAAGGGCACCCCTGCGCTATACCGGCGGTTTGTCGTCGTTCTGTGTAAGATCCGCAATGATCACAATGGTGAGGAAGCGTTCCGAATCAATTACTTCGATCATCTGGAACGTGGGGAGCGGGATCCCACAGCGAACCAATACTCCACAAAAACATTGAGGCTTCAGCCTGTCAAAAACTTTCGCCCAGTCGAGTGGCACTAGTAGTATGCCGCCGCCGTCGTTGAGGGCAAGTATGTCTAAAAACAATTAAAAATACCCTGTGGCGTACCCAACCCTTTCTACACATGTGGCAATTCTACCCAAGACCACTCAATACTGCCTGACATTCTGAAGGACCCGCCGTGCGCAAGAAAAACACCCAACAATGATTTCAGAAGAGCACAGCAAGAAGAGGAACGGCAAATGTTCAAAATGGAAACACCACGGCGTTGAAAGAAACGCGCCCAACAAGTGAACACAAAAGGGCGCAGATCGCAAGCCCCCCAGGGGGCGGCGAGGTCCCGAGGTGGTCCGCGTATAACGTACCTCCGCTGGGCCTCCCAGGAGCCCACGAAAGTGGCAACAATTGCGCAGATCGCAAGCACCCCAGGGGGAGGCGAGGTCCCGAGGTGGTCCACATATGACGTACCTCCGCTGGGCGGACCAGGAGCTCACGAAAGTGGCGATAATTGCGCAGATCGCCAGCCCCCCAAGGGGGCGGCGAGGTCCCGAGGTAACCCGCGTATGACTTACCTCCGCTGGGCCTCCCAGGAGCCCACGAAAGCGGCAACGGTTGCGCAGATCGCAAGCCCCCCAAGGGGGCGGCGAGGTCCCGAGGTGGTCCGCGTATGACGTACCTCCGCTGGGCCTCCCAGGAGCCCACGAAAGTGGCGACAATTGTGCAGATCGCAAGCCCCCCAGGGGGCGGCGAGGTCCCGAGGTGGTCCGCGTATGACGTACCTCCGCTGGGCCTCCCAGGAGCTCACGAAAGTGACGATAATTGCGCAGATCGCAAGCCCCCCAGGGGGCGGCAAGGTCCCGAGGTGGCCCGCGTATGACGTACCTCCGCTGGGCCTCCCAGGAGCCCACGAAAATGGCGACAGTTGCGCAGATCGCAAGCCCCCCAGGGGGCGGCGAGGTCCCGAGGTGACCTGCGTATGACGTACCTCCGCTGGACCTCCCAGGAGCCCACGAAAGCGGCGACGGTTGCGCAGATCGCCAGCCCCCCAGGGGGCGGCGAGGACCCGAGGTGACCCGCGTATGACGTACCTCCGCTGGGCCTCCCAGGAGCCCACGAAAGCGGCGACGGTTGCGCAGATCGCCAGCCACCCAGGGGGCGGCGAGGTGCCGAGGTGGTCCGCATATGACGTACCCCCGCTGGGCCTCCCAGGAACTCACGAAAGTGGCGACAATTGCGCAGATCGCAAGCCCAAGGGGCTGCGAGGTCCCGAGGTGGTCCGCGTATGACGTACCTCCGCTGGGCCTCCCAGGAGCCCACGAAAATGGCGACGGTTGCGCAGATCGCAAGTCCCCCAGGGGGCGGCGAGGTCCCGAGGTAACCCGCGTATGACGTACCTCCGCTGGGCCTCCCAGGAGCCCACGAAAGTGGCGACAATTGCGCAGATCGCAGCCACCCAGGGCACCGTCTATAGTGGTGATCTGCGTATGACGTACCTCCGCTGGGCCTCCCAGGAACCCACGAAGTGCCGATAGTTTCGCATGCCGCAGCCACCCAGGGCACCACGAGCTATAGTGGTGATCTGCGTATGATGTACCGCCGCTGGGCCTCCCAGGAGCCCACGAA